TGCCATAGACGCCCAGTCGGAAGAAGAATAATAATAATAATAATAATAAGAACCGGCACAGATACAATAGGTGCCTCCGCACCTTCGGTGCTTGGCCCCTAATAATAATATAGCTGCAAGCAGCCATTACCGGGGCCAAGCGCAAGAAGCGGCAACATATGCCAAAATGGCAAGGAGTGGCAGACCAACTGCAGCAAGGAGCAATTAAGGGCATTTTGAGAGAACGTTGGGCAAATGGCTAAGAAAATCACATAAACATTAACTTATAAGATGATTTAATGGATTATCACTTTCGAACAATAGGTGGCGCAGTTACGAAATAGATGTGATGTGGTCAGAGTGAGGTGACAATGACACATGCAAAGTTTGGTGTCAAAATGTGAAGGCATGCAGAGATAAAGCCTAAATAGTAATTTTGGCAGCATGCCTAAATTTCGATGCTGTGGTATACGAAAACGGTTTTGTCTATCATCATGCAATTCATAACTTTTAGTCGGCACAGTCTGGAGATGATACGATTCAATTTTCGTGAAAATCGGACAAACGGTCTAGGAGGAGTTCGAAAAAGAAGGTTTTTTCAAAGAAATAAAGATGGCGGACAGGAAGTTTTGCTGATTATGCAAAACCTGATATCTATGTTTTCAGCATAACCCAAGGAATCTATTAAGATCAGTTTCATTGCAATAGGCAAATTTATTCAAAAGTTATTAGCGTTCTCAGAAATGAATTATAACTTTTGACCAACAGGTGGCGCTGTCTCAAAATCTTTTGAGTACCTTCAGGGCATGCTGCTTATGGCACACACTGAGTTTTGTAATATTACACCAATGCATTTGTTTAGTATAGCATTGTATTTCACAAAACTGTATTGAAGTCAATGGGAATTTCCCGTTTTGTTCTATTATAGCGCAACCAAGAGGCTCAGTCCCACAATTTTTTTTATGTGTCCTCAGAGTGACCCCATACATATGTGTGTCAATTTTGGTGCAAATATCTCAATTCACTTCCGAGTTATAAACATTTATATGAAAAAACACGTAAAAAATGACTGACACATGACTTTGTTTGAATTTTACTACCCCTTACTATCAATATTTTCGCATTTGGGCATTAGCGTATAGTTAACAAGCTATGATTCCGTGTTTCTGGCGGTGGTTTCGTCTCGATCGGAACAGCGGTTTTGAAGATATCGCCAAGTGTTTTTTTCGCGCTAAATCGCTACGCTACACCAACCGTAACACGAAACCCAGCATGTTTAGTATCGTTGGACTCGGCAACGATTCAGGAACTCAAAAAGATGACTCCCGTGAAAATAAGTGTACCACACCCAAAGTTATAAGCGTTTGAAAAAAAAAATTCACCACTAGGTGGCGCTGTTTCGAAACTTCTCAGGCTCCTTCAGGGCATCGTACTGATGACCCATACCGAGTTTCGTAACAATTCGTTCATGCGTTCAAAAAATACAGCATTTTAGCACATAATTCAAAATGGCCGACAGCCAAAATGGCCGATCTGGGAAAATTGGATATCACTCGACTCGGCATGATGCCCTGAATCTAACGAGATGAAGTTTATGATTTTTGGACAAACCGTTCAGAAGTTACGAGCAAAAATAGCCATTTTTCATATCTCCGGACCACTAGGTGGCGCTGCGCCGAAACGCTGCATGTAGCCTCAGGTCATGCTTGTGATTACATGTACCAAGTTTGGTCTGAATAGGATGAAGCGTTGCGGAGATATAGCCTTACGTCTGTTTTTGCAAGCGTTACGTAAAATTTGTTTGTGCGTTTATCAAAAACCGTTAAGCAAATCATCTTGAATTCCATAACTTTTTGTCAGCACTGCCTGGAGATGATCCGGTGCGATTTTGGTGAAAATCGGACAAACGGTCTAGGACGAGTTCGCAAAAGTACGTTTTTTAGAAAATTCAAAATGGCGGCCATTTTTTTATGACGGAAAATGACGTCATAGGGTGCGATCGAATCGGCATGAGCTCAGGAACAAGAAGAAAAAAGAATTTTGTTGATAGGCCTTACGGTTCAAAAGTTATTAGCATAATAAAAGTGCAACTTTGGACAGTTGGTGGCGCTAGAGGGAATGAGTTAGAGACACCAAAATTGGTGTATTTAAAGTTGGGACTGTCCTCTATCAGAATGTCAAACCAAAACAACTTTCCCGCAAACCGGTCTATGGGCTGTCATAGACGCCCAGTCGGAAGAAGAATAATAATAATAATAAATATAGCTGCAAGCAGCCATTACCGGGGCCAAGCGCAATAAGCGGCAACATATGCCAAAATGGCAAGGAGTGGCAGACCAACTGCAGCAAGGAGCAATTAAGGGCATTTTGAGAGAACTTTGGGCAAATGGCTAAGAAAATCACATAAACATTAACTTATAAGATGATTTAATGGGTTATCACTTTCGAACAATAGGTGGCGCAGTTACGAAATAGATGTGATGTGGTCAGAGTGAGGTGACAATGACACATGCACAGTTTGGTGTCAAAATGTGAAGGCACTGCAGAGATAAAGCCTAAATAGTAATTTTGGCAGCATGCCTAAACTTTGATGTTGTGTTATACGAAAACGGTTTCGTCTATCATCGTGCAATTCATAACTTTTAGTCGGCACGGTCTGGAGATGATACCATTCAATTTTCGTGAAAATCGGACAAACGGTCTAGGAGGAGTTCGAAAAAGAAGGTTTTTTCAAAGAAATAAAGATGGCGGACAGGAAGTTTTGCTGATTATGCAAAACCTGATATCTATGTTTTCAGCATAACCCAAGGAATCTATTAAGATCAGTTTCATTGCAATAGGCAAATTTATTCAAAAGTTATTAGCGTTCTCAGAAATGAATTATAACTTTTGACCAACAGGTGGCGCTGTCTCAAAATCTTTTGAGTACCTTCAGGGCATGCTGCTTATGGCACACACTGAGTTTCGTAATGTTAGACCAAAGCATTTATTTAGTATAGCATTGTATTTCACAAAACTCTATTGAAGTCAATGGGAATTTCACGTTTTGTTCTATTATAGCGCCACCAAGAGGCTCAGTCCCACAATTTTTTGTATGTGTCCTCAGAGTGACCCCATACATATGTGTGTCAATTTTGGTGCAAATATCTCAATTTACTTCCGAGTTATAAACATTTATATGAAAAAACACGTAAAAAATGACTGACACATGACTTTGTTTGAATTTTACTACCCCCTTACTATCAATATTTTCGCATTTGGGCATTAGCGTATAGTTAACAAGCTATGATTCCGTGTTTCTGGCGGTGGTTTCGTCTCGATCGGAACAGCGGTTTTGAAGATATCGCCAAGTGTTTTTTTCGCGCTAAATCGCTACGCTACACCAACCGTAACACGAAACCCAGCATGTTTAGTATCGTTGGACTCGGCAACGATTCAGGAACTCAAAAAGATGACTCCCGTGAAAATAAGTGTACCACACCCAAAGTTATAAGCGTTTGAAAAAAAAAATTCACCACTAGGTGGCGCTGTTTCGAAACTTCTCAGGCTCCTTCAGGGCATTGTACTGATGACCCATACCGAGTTTCGTAACAATTCGTTCATGCGTTCAAAAAATACAGCATTTTAGCACATAATTCAAAATGGCCGACAGCCAAAATGGCCGATCTGGGAAAATTGGATATCACTCGACTCGGCATGATGCCCTGAATCTAACGAGATGAAGTTTATGATTTTTGGACAAACCGTTCAGAAGTTACGAGCAAAAATAGCCATTTTTCATATCTCCGGACCACTAGGTGGCGCTGCGCCGAAACGCTGCATGTAGCCTCAGGTCATGCTTGTGATTACATGTACCAAGTTTGGTCTGAATAGGATGAAGCGTTGCGGAGATATAGCCTTACGTCTGTTTTTGCAAGCGTTACGTAAAATTTGTTTGTGCGTTTATCAAAAACCGTTAAGCAAATCATCTTGAATTCCATAACTTTTTGTCAGCACTGCCTGGAGATGATCCGGTGCGATTTTGGTGAAAATCGGACAAACGGTCTAGGACGAGTTCGCAAAAGTACGTTTTTTAGAAAATTCAAAATGGCGGCCATGTTTTTATGACGGAAAATGACGTCATAGGTTGCGATCGAATCGGCATGAGCTCAGGAACAAGAGGAAAAAAGAATTTTGTTGATAGGCCTTACGGTTCAAAAGTTATTAGCATAATAAAAGTGAAACTTTGGACAGTTGGTGGCGCTAGAGGGAATGAGTTAGAGACACCAAAATTGGTGTATTTAAAGTTGGGACTGTCCTCTATCAGAATGTCAAACCAAAACAACTTTCCCGCAAACCGGTCTATGGGCTGCCATAGACGCCCAGTCGGAAGAAGAATAATAATAATAATAGGAACCGGCACAGATACAATAGGTGCCTCCGCACCTTCGGTGCTTGGCCCCTAATAATAATAAGAACCGGCACAGATACAATAGGTGCCTCCGCACCTTCGGTGCTTGGCCCCTAATAATAATAATAAGAACCGGCACAGATACAATAGGTGCCTCCGCACCTTCGGTGCTTGGCCCCTAATAATGCCTTATGAGAATGTAGAAATACAGAAGGTTTGTGTGAGTGAAGTGTAGGATCAGAACACATCAGAAACTGTGTTTATGGTGAATTTACAAGTCATTTCCGTATGTTTCTGTTTATCTGTGTGTGTGTGTGTGTCAGGCTCGATCCTTCATTAGTGTTCATGTACTGCTAGTCCTGATCTCCTTCCACATCCACTTTAATTCTTTCAAAGTCTCTAAAATCGACTGCAAAACCCCATTCGATCAGAAACACACACTTTACAGCATCACATGTATTCATGACCAAGTCCTGGCGGTGTGTTCTTGGACATCGTCTCACTGGGAAATAAATCACATGACAGTCTCCGTAACATGTGCTTTGAATGTTCAGTCTCCGTCATCAGAAACTGCAGGTTTGATCAGTGTTGAAGAGCTGTTCCTCGCCTGATTCCTCTGTGTTTTCTGCAGCCGGTGGGGTTTGTGAGCTTTGACAGTCGCTCAGAGGCGGAGGCCGCTAAGATCGCCCTGAACGTAAGTTTAACTCTATCATCTCAATATGAATTCGCTAAAAAAAGACGAAAGGCTCCTGGTGTGGTTTGGCCTGAAGACATGTTCACACACGGTCACGTTTCTCAGATCTGAGCTCCGGAGCCGCAGTTGTGGGAACTCGGCACTCGTCTGACAGGACACACTGGAAACGAGTCAATCTATAGATGAAAGAGTCTCTCGCTTTCATTGATCCAGGATTTGGTTTTAATCTTAGTGTGAAACTGGAGAGACTGACCTTGAGAGGATTTGAGCTCTGCAGTTAATAAATCTTGAAATTAGATGCGCACACACTCAAATAATGAATTGCACCATTAAAATCTGTTGTTTCAGATCAAATATGTTGTTTCCCATGTCTTTTTATGGGTTACCTACTTTCTTCAACTGAATTGTAATACATATGATTAGTGTTTGATTATCTTGACATGCGAGTTTGGTCTACATTTGTTGTGAAGTCTCGATATTTATCGATAAACGATTCACGTCATGCCACACAGATAGCTGGACAACTTACACTTAATCTCATTAGTTCAGTGTTTCTGGACTAAAGTTACATTAGAGGTCAACCAATATATTACTTTTACTGATTAGACATGGTTTTTAATTAACAAGCACAGTCAGACTACCATCTCAACATGTGCTAATTGCCCATCGTAACACACCAGATTGGACCTGCGTCTGCCTGATCTGAGAATCGGACAAATTTCAAGTCCAAACTATATAGCTCTGGCTACAGTTTGCTCTGGCTTGCTCAAAAGTGGGAATAGTAAAACAATTATGGACTAATCTTACCAAATAGTAAATTTTCTATCAGAATAATCGATGCATAAAACGACAGTAATCCAGTAAAGCTGTTTATTATTAAAGCGTTTGAAGAAAAACCTGAAACCTGACATGAGATCTCCACAAGCTCACCTGAACTGAGACACACCCTAACCCTAACCCTAACCGCTGTATAAATGAGGTGAATAAAGTACATATCATTGAGTTGTGTGGTGCGAGGATGAGCTTGATTTCAGCAAGAGGAAGACATGTTTGCCGTAATGATGTTTGATTTCTGTTTTTCAGGGAGTTCGATTTGACCCGGATATTCCCCAGACTTTACGGCTGGAGTTTGCCAAAGCCAATACCAAGATGGCCAAGAACAAACTAGTGGGAATCCCAAACCCTCCTCCATCCCAACACAGTCCTGGACCGTCCTGCTTCAGCCGAGACCTCTGTGAGTAACACACACACACACACACACACACACACACGTCTTTTCTGTCTAAATGACGTAACATAAACGCTCCGGTTACTAATGCAACCTTGGTTCCCTGAGATAACGTAAATGGTTATCTCGGGGATAAACGGTCCATCAGTTTCTAACGCTATGGAGAAACTGTTTCTCAGAAATACTGAAGCCTGATTGGATCAGGTCTTCTGATGCCGTGGGAAACGCAATCCAATAGCGCCATGCTACTGTCCTGCGAGCCTAGCCTAGGGCACCTGGGACCAGGACCCTTATTAGGCTTATATCAAGGACTGTAAGGGACATATATATGTTACCCTGGAACACAAAACCAGTCACAAATCACATGGGTATATTTGTGGCAATAGCAACAATATATTGTGGGTCAAAATTCTGACTGGACCCTTGCAGTTGGATGTTATTGGAGGAGCAGGAATGTCTACGATATAAAATCTGGAAAAAGTGTATGGCGAGCCACTGCACAGATGTCACCAATGGACACCTCACTTGACCACGCCCTGGAGGAGGCCATAAAGACACTGGAGGCCATAAAGACACTATCCATTTGGTCTCTGCTACTTGACTGGCACGACCTCCGGAGCACAACGACAGCTGAGGACTGTGGATAGAAACCAGGAGGGAACTTCATAATTAGGTTGTTCCTTCCAGCTGATGTTTGCAGTGTATGCTCTGGCTCCCAGGGCCGGTGTGGCTCTGCACGGCTTAGAAGGGTAAGCGGCTTCGGTCTTCCATCTGAGAGCCGGTGAGGGCAGAGGAGTGCGGTGACGGCCTCCTCTAAATCTTTATGTGCCCCTTCTGCTCCACACGGTCAACAGAGATGAGGCCAGTGCAGTAGTGAACACACACTGAATAGGGAGTGCTTCTTCATGAACTTCTGAGAAGAATGGGGCTGTCCTGTGGCTCCTCTGGGGCCGAGCACTCTAACCCCAGCTCTTCTACGGTCTTGGATAGGACATGGACCAGTTCCGACCCAACCATGGCCTGGCATCACCTGCCTCTTTAGACAGTGGGGTGGCGGAGTCCTCCGCTGGGTTGGACCACTGCTCCACATCAGAAGTGGCCAGTGAAATGGTGTCATCGAAATCCTTCTCTGATCTGCCGAAAGAGACTAAGCCGGTTGCCCCAGATGAGGGGTACTGGTCATCATGTGTGAAGAGCACTGGAGAATCCTCTCGCTGTGGGGAGAGTGAGGCATGGAGAGCATGAGCTCACTGCAGCCCGAATGCTCTGATCCACAGCTGCTTCTTCCAATCTTGGCTCTGTATGAGCCACACTTGGCGCAACAAACTCTGCTGAATTTGGTACCAGAGGAGAAGCGCCAGGTCACCTGCACCTGAAGCCCTGTTAATCCGCTGATAAGTCTTGATCTCACGGCAAGCAGGAAGGCTTCTTTTATCTTCTTCGGAGTCACCAATCATCGTCGCTCTTGAAGGAGAAATATTCTGACAATATGTACAAAATATCTGTGATAAAAAATGGAAGTTGCTGCAATCAAACGAGAAACTGTGGCTCTTTTTTCCTACGTCAAAAATTACTGTTTAGACGAAACACAATAAATGCTATCATGTTCTCTTGCATTTGAATGCTGGTGTTTGGGAACACAGTCGTTGGAGATGCTTCTGGGAGGGAATTAAAATGAATCATTCTGATCACAGACTTTGGATCAGGCGTTTCAGAATCACCTAACCTACAGAGATGTGCAATTTATTTGGTAAATGTGTTCCCATCGTAGTCCATGAACATCTTCTGCAGTTTATCAGTTGAATCCAAACACTTAGACTCTTCTCCTGTAAACTCATGCTAACCCTGTTGTTTAGATGAATTCACGGTGCCTGCACTGTATCCCAGCAGTCCTGATGTGTGGGCATCATACCCGCTGTACCCCGCTGAACTGCCTCCTGCTGCGTATGCCTACAGCTCATCACTGCATGCTCAGGTAACACACACCTGTCTACAGCTCATCACTGCACGCTCAGGTAACACACACCTGTCTACAGCTCATCACTGCACACTCAGGTAACACACACCTGTCTACAGCTCACCACTGCACGCTCAGGTAACACACACCTGTCTACAGCTCATCACTGCACACTCAGGTAACACACACCTGTCTACAGCTCATCACTGCACACTCAGGTAACACACACCTGTCTACAGCTCACCACTGCACGCTCAGGTAACACACACCTGTCCACAGCTCATCACTGCACGCTCAGGTAACACACACCTGTCTACAGCTCATCACTGCACACTCAGGTAACACACACCTGTCTACAGCTCACCACTGCACGCTCAGGTAACACACCTGTCTACAGCTCACCACTGCACGCTCAGGTAACACACACCTGTCTACAGCTCATCACTGCACGCTCAGGTAACACACACCTGTCTACAGCTCATCACTGCACGCTCAGGTAACACACACCTGTCTACAGCTCATCACTGCACGCTCAGGTAACACACACCTGTCTACAGCTCATCACTGCACGCTCAGGTAACACACACCTCTATACAGCTCATCACTGCACACTCAGGTAACACACACCTGTCTACAGCTCATCACTGCACACTCAGGTGACACACACCTGTCTACAGCTCATCACTGCACACTCAGGTAACACACACCTGTCTACAGCTCATCACTGCACACTCAGGTAACACACACCTGTCTACAGCTCATCACTGCACACTCAGGTAACACACACCTGTCTACAGCTCATCACTGCACGCTCAGGTAACACACACCTGTCTACAGCTCACCACTGCACGCTCAGGTAACACACACCTGTCTACAGCTCATCACTGCACACTCAGGTAACACACACCTGTCTACAGCTCATCACTGCACGCTCAGGTAACACACACCTGTCTACAGCTCACCACTGCACGCTCAGGTAACACACACCTGTCTACAGCTCACCACTGCACGCTCAGGTAACACACCTGTCTACAGCTCACCACTGCACGCTCAGGTAACACACACCTGTCTACAGCTCACCACTGCACGCTCAGGTAACACACACCTGTCTACAGCTCATCACTGCACTCTCAGGTAACACACACCTGTCTACAGCTCATCACTGCACGCTCAGGTAACACACACCTGTCTACAGCTCATCACTGCACACTCAGGTAACACACCTGTCTACAGCTCACCACTGCACACTCAGGTAACACACACCTGTCTACAGCTCATCACTGCACGCTCAGGTAACACACACCTGTCTACAGCTCATCACTGCACGCTCAGGTAACACACACCTGTCTACAGCTCACCACTGCACGCTCAGGTAACACACACCTGTCTACAGCTCATCACTGCACACTCAGGTAACACACCTGTCTACAGCTCACCACTGCACGCTCAGGTAACACACACCTGTCTACAGCTCATCACTGCACTCTCAGGTAACACACACCTGTCTACAGCTCATCACTGCACGCTCAGGTAACACACACCTGTCTACAGCTCATCACTGCACACTCAGGTAACACACCTGTCTACAGCTCACCACTGCACACTCAGGTAACACACACCTGTCTACAGCTCATCACTGCACGCTCATGTAACACACACCTGTCTACAGCTCACCACTGCACGCTCAGGTAACACACCTGTCTACAGCTCATCACTGCACGCTCAGGTAACACACACCTGTCTACAGCTCACCACTGCACGCTCAGGTAACACACACCTGTCTACAGCTCACCACTGCACGCTCAGGTAACACACACCTGTCTACAGCTCATCACTGCACGCTCAGGTAACACACCTGTCTACAGCTCACCACTGCACACTCAGGTAACACACACCTGTCTACAGCTCATCACTGCACGCTCAGGTAACACACACCTGTCTACAGCTCATCACTGCACACTCAGGTAACACACCTGTCCACAGCTCATCACTGCACGCTCAGGTAACACACACCTGTCTACAGCTCATCACTGCACGCTCAGGTAACACACACCTGTCTACAGCTCACCACTGCACGCTCAGGTAACACACACCTGTCTACAGCTCATCACTGCACGCTCAGGTAACACACACCTGTCTACAGCTCACCACTGCACGCTCAGTTAACACACACCTGTCTACAGCTCATCACTGCACGCTCAGGTAACACACACCTGTCTACAGCTCACCACTGCACTCTCAGGTAACACACACCTGTCTACAGCTCACCACTGCACGCTCAGGTAACACACACCTGTCTACAGCTCATCACTGCACGCTCAGGTAACACACACCTGTCTACAGCTCACCACTGCACACTCAGGTAACACACACCCGTCTACAGCTCACCACTGCACACTCAGGTAACACACCTGTCTACAGCTCATCACTGCACGCTCAGGTAACACACCTGTCTACAGCTCACCACTGCACGCTCAGGTAACACACACCTGTCTACAGCTCATCACTGCACGCTCAGGTAACACACACCTGTCTACAGCTCACCACTGCACACTCAGGTAACACACACCCGTCTACAGCTCATCACTGCACGCTCAGGTAACACACACCTGTCTACAGCTCATCACTGCACGCTCAGGTAACACACACCTGTCTACAGCTCATCACTGCACGCTCAGGTAACACACACCTGTCTACAGCTCATCACTGCACGCTCAGGTAACACACACCTGTCTACAGCTCATCACTGCACGCTCAGGTAACACACACCTGTCTACAGCTCATCACTGCACACTCAGGTAACACACACCTGTCTACAGCTCATCACTGCACACTCAGGTAACACACACCTGTCTACAGCTCATCACTGCACACTCAGGTAACACACCTGTCTACAGCTCATCACTGCACGCTCAGGTAACACACACCTGTCTACAGCTCATCACTGCACACTCAGGTAACACACACCTGTCTACAGCTCACCACTGCACGCTCAGGTAACACACACCTGTCTACAGCTCACCACTGCACACTCAGGTAACACACCTGTCTACAGCTCATCACTGCACGCTCAGGTAACACACCTGTCTACAGCTCATCACTGCACGCTCAGGTAACACACACCTGTCTACAGCTCATCACTGCACGCTCAGGTAACACACACCTGTCTACAGCTCATCACTGCACGCTCAGGTAACACACACCTGTCTACAGCTCATCACTGCACACTCAGGTAACACACACCTGTCTACAGCTCACCACTGCACACTCAGGTAACACACACCTGTCTACAGCTCATCACTGCACACTCAGGTAACACACACCTGTCTACAGCTCACCACTGCACACTCAGGTAACACACACCTGTCTACAGCTCATCACTGCACGCTCAGGTAACACACACCTGTCTACAGCTCATCACTGCACGCTCAGGTAACACACACCTGTCTACAGCTCATCACTGCACGCTCAGGTAACACACACCTGTCTACAGCTCATCACTGCACGCTCAGGTAACACACCTGTCTACAGCTCATCACTGCACGCTCAGGTAACACACACCTGTCTACAGCTCATCACTGCACACTCAGGTAACACACACCTGTCTACAGCTCATCACTGCACGCTCAGGTAACACACACCTGTCTACAGCTCACCACTGCACGCTCAGGTAACACACACCTGTCTACAGCTCATCACTGCACGCTCAGTTAACACACACCTGTCTACAGCTCACCACTGCACGCTCAGGTAACACACACCTGTCTACAGCTCATCACTGCACGCTCAGGTAACACACACCTGTCTACAGCTCATCACTGCACGCTCAGGTAACACACACCTGTCTACAGCTCATCACTGCACGCTCAGGTAACACACACCTGTCTACAGCTCATCACTGCACGCTCAGGTAACACACACCTGTCTACAGCTCATCACTGCACGCTCAGTTAACACACACCTGTCTACAGCTCACCACTGCACGCTCAGGTAACACACCTGTCTACAGCTCACCACTGCACGCTCAGGTAACACACACCTGTCTACAGCTCATCACTGCACGCTCAGGTAACACACACCTGTCTACAGCTCACCACTGCACGCTCAGGTAACACACACCTGTCTACAGCTCATCACTGCACGCTCAGGTAACACACACCTGTCTACAGCTCATCACTGCACGCTCAGGTAACACACACCTGTCTACAGCTCATCACTGCACGCTCAGTTAACACACACCTGTCTACAGCTCATCACTGCACGCTCAGGTAACACACCTGTCTACAGCTCACCACTGCACGCTCAGGTAACACACACCTGTCTACAGCTCATCACTGCACGCTCAGTTAACACACACCTGTCTACAGCTCACCACTGCACGCTCAGGTAACACACACCTGTCTACAGCTCATCACTGCACGCTCAGGTAACACACCTGTCTACAGCTCACCACTGCACGCTCAGGTAACACACCTGTCTACAGCTCATCACTGCACGCTCAGGTAACACACACCTGTCTACAGCTCATCACTGCACGCTCAGGTAACACACACCTGTCTACAGCTCACCACTGCACGCTCAGGTAACACACACCTGTCTACAGCTCATCACTGCACGCTCAGGTAACACACACCTGTCTACAGCTCATCACTGCACGCTCAGGTAACACACACCTGTCTACAGCTCATCACTGCACGCTCAGGTAACACACACCTGTCTACAGCTCATCACTGCACGCTCAGGTAACACACCTGTCTACAGCTCATCACTGCACGCTCAGGTAACACACCTGTCTACAGCTCACCACTGCACGCTCAGGTAACACACACCTGTCTACAGCTCACCACTGCACGCTCAGGTAACACACACCTGTCTACAGCTCATCACTGCACGCTCAGGTAACACACACCTGTCTACAGCTCATCACTGCACACTCAGGTAACACACACCTGTCTACAGCTCATCACTGCACACTCAGGTAACACACACCTGTCTACAGCTCATCACTGCACACTCAGGTAACACACACCTGTCTACAGCTCACCACTGCACGCTCAGGTAACACACACCTGTCTACAGCTCATCACTGCACACTCAGGTAACACACACCTGTCTACAGCTCACCACTGCACGCTCAGGTAACACACACCTGTCTACAGCTCACCACTGCACACTAAACTAGTAGAGTTTTACAGATGAGTATGCCTCTCTCTAGAGTACTGTACTGTTATCTACTGTACTGTGAATGTTAATGATCATTTTGTTTTGCGTGTCAGATTCGCTGGCTGCCGACTGCCGACGCAACCAATCAGGGCTGGAAGAGCCGACAGTTCTGTTGACACATATGTGGGTTTAACACACATTCACCTGCAAGGCACTGCATCATCTTGATAATTGACTAATCTAAATTTTATTAGAATGATTCATTGATTATTTGGTCCATGTTTCATATGATCTGAACTATTTTAACACAATCACAGAGAAAGCGATGTTCACGAGGAGCTGACTGAAGCCCTTCATCACTGCAGGTGTAACGCGACACAAACGAGTTCCTGATCTTTCTCTCTTTCTCTTCTGACAGATACAGCTACATCAGCCTGAAACAAGAGGTGAGGATCTGTTATGTTCGTGATAATGTTCAGTCACTCACTGCCACAAAATAAACCCCAGACACACATCAGAGGCGCTTATTACACAGCTGCATACCAGATAAATACACACATGGATGTGGAATATTGATTTGAGTGTAAATGATTATATTATGTGAAGAAAGAGTGTGGACTAATGCACAGAAACGAGGTCATGAAATGAAATTCATTGTCATTATAAACAAATAAAAGAGCACTTATATCCACCAACACAGACGCATCATCAGTGCTTTATTACTACTGACATGGAAATCTGGTACTAATTATAAATTGCATGACTAAAATTAACAATAACATAATGTTATAAATTTGTATTTGTACTTTTCATGAAACTTTAATCTACTTGATGTGACAAGAATAATCTTGAACAAACGTACAATAAACGGCAATGGAACATTTCCTGAAGAAATTCATCTTTAACATTAACATTAAAAACATGTTAGAAACAGTTTTTGTTTATGCCATTCTAATGTTTTAAGTATTAATCATGTGCTTGTGTGGTGAATGATGGAGTCAAATTACAAGTACTTGATTTGTATAAACACATGACCTGTCTTCTGTTTCGGGTTATTTATACTCTTTACTCTGTTTTTGATATTGTAGCTGCTGCTGTGAACCAGGACAATCACACGCTCCACGAGAACAAACCTCGCCCCCTCCTCTTCTCTTCTCTTCTCATTTATATTGCTTGTGAAGTTTATGATTCATGATTATTTATAATGCTGTTCACATTAGTTTAATAATTAATTACTGTAAGTTCTGATGTGTTGATGCATGACCAAAAAGTCATTTTGGTATTTAGACATTTTTAGAAATTATACTGCATATTCATTTTATTCTTAAGAAGCAAATTAAGTATTTTTATAATGAATGAAGTAAAATGTTTTCAGTGCCATTTTAATGTAGTTGCTGTTTCTTAAATGTATGAGAATGTTTTTTAATGGCTATGAATGTCTTATTTAACTTTTATTAGTGCTTACCTAAATCATTAAATAAATAAAGATTATGTGAGATGTATTCGAAAAGTCTAAGAGACTTATTTAATGTCTAAATATAGTCAGAGAAACAACATCTTACTCAGATGTTCTAATAATAGAAACACTTTAATATGCTTGGATTAGACCATCAAAACACTTTTACTGAGTGTGTGTGTGTGTGTGTGTGTGTTTAACACTTTTACAAGGAAGACAAAGATGATTTCAAAATAAAACAAGATATTTAAAACTCAGACCCAACAATATGAAACTGTGTGTTGTGAGTGTGTTTTTGAGAGTGTGTGTGTGTGTGTGTGTCTTGTAACTATGTACATCTTATTGTTTTGTATCTGTTGAGTTTTTACACTGAGATTCATAGTCCTTTTGACTGAGAATAGTTGCCATTTTCCACTGTACTTTTCTTAATACGCATGTCACTGATTTTAAAGGCTGGAAGGTGAAGTTTATAGAAAAAGCTCACAAGTTATTTTGGGCAAGACTGAGTTGCCTAAACATCACATCCTTTATGATAACATTTATCATTCCTGTGATTTTGCATTAATATGGACAATTTATTGATAAAACCATTAAAACCACTTAAAGGCCCAAAGCCCCCACTCTCCCTGACCCAAAGCCCCCACTGTCTCCAATCCAAAGCCCGTCCCAAAGCCCCCGCTCTCCCCGACTCAAAGCCCGTCCCAAAGCCCCCGCTCTCCCCAACTCAAGGCCCGTCCCAAAGCCTCCGCTCTCCCCGACCCAAAGCCCGTCCCAAAGCCCCCGCTCTCCCCGACCCAAAGCCCGTCCCAAAGCCGCCGCTCTCCCTGACTCAAAGCCCCGCTCTCCCCGACCCAAAGCCCGTCCCAAGGCCCCCGCTCTCTCCGATCCAAAGCCCGTCCCAAAGCCGCCGCTCTCCCCGACCCAAAGCCTGTCCCAAAGCCCCCGCTCTCCCCGACCCAAAGCCTGTCCCAAAGCCTCCGCTCTCCCCGACCCAAAGCCCGTCCCAAGCCCCCCGCTCTCTCCGATCCAAAGCCCGTCCCAAAGCCGCCGCTCTCCCGATCCAAAGCCCGTCCCAAAGCCTCCGCTCTCCCCGATCCAAAGCCCCCGCTCTCCCCGATCCAAAGCCCGTCCCAAAGCCTCCGCTCTCCCCGATCCAAAGCCCGTCCCAAAGCCGCCGCTCTCCCCGACCCAAAGCCTGTCCCAAAGCCCCGCTCTCCCCGACCCAAAGCCTGTCCCAAAGCCTCCGCTCTCCCCGACCCAAAGCCCGTCCCAAGCCCCCGCTCTCTCCGATCCAAAGCCCGTCCCAAGGCCCCCGCTCTCTCCGATCCAAAGCCCGTCCCAAAGCCGCCGCTCTCCCCGACCCAAAGCCTGTCCCAAAGCCCCCGCTCTCCCCGACCCAAAGCCTGTCCCAAAGCCTCCGCTCTCCCCGACCCAAAGCCCGTCCCAAGGCCCCCGCTCTCTCCGATCCAAAGCCCGTCCCAAGGCCCCCGCTCTCTCCGATCCAAAGCCCGTCCCAAAGCCGCCGCTCTCCCCGATCCAAAGCCCGTCCCAAAGCCTCCGCTCTCCCCGATCCAAAGCCCCCGCTCTCCCCGATCCAAAGCCCGTCCCAAAGCCGCCGCTCTCCCCGTCCCAAAGCCCCCGCTCTCCCCGATCCAAAGCCCGTCCAAAGCCTCCGCTCTCCCCGATCCAAAGCCCCCGCTCTCCCCGATCCAAAGCCCCCGCTCTCCCCGATCCAAAGCCCGTCCCAAAGCCGCCGCTCTCCCCGTCCCAAAGCCCCCGCTCTCCCCGATCCAAAGCCCGTCCCAAAGCCTCCGCTCTCCCCGATCCAAAGCCCCCGCTCTCCCCGATCCAAAGCCCCCGCTCTCCCCGATCCAAAGCCCGTCCAAAGCCACCGCTCTCCCCGATCCAAAGCCCCCGCTCTCCCCGATCCAAAGCCCCCGCTCTCCCTGACCCAAAGCCCGTCCCAAGGCCCCCGCTCTCTCCGATCCAAAGCCCGTCCCAAAACCCCCGCTCTCCCCGACCCAAAGCCCCCGCTCTCCCCGACCCAAAGCCCCCGCTCTCCCCGACCCAAAGCCCCGCTCTCCCCGACCCAAAGCCCCCGCTCTCCCCGACCCAAAGCCCCCGCTCTCCCCGATCCAAAGCCCCCGCTCTCCCCGATCCAAAGCCCCCGCTCTCCCTGACCCAAAGCCCGTCCCAAGGCCCCCGCTCTCTCCGATCCAAAGCCCGTCCCAAAACCCCCGCTCTCCCCGACCCAAAGCCCCCCTCTCCCCGACCCAAAGCCCCCGCTCTCCCCGACCCAAAGCCCCCGCTCTCCCGACCCAAAGCCCCCGCTCTCCCCGACCCAAAGCCCCGCTCTCCCCGACCCAAAGCCCCCGCTCTCCCCGACCAAAGCCCGTCCCAAAGCCCCCGCTCTCCCCGATCCAAAGCCCGTCCCAAAGCCGCCGCTCTCCCCGATCCAAAGCCCCTGCTCTCCCCGATCCAAAGCCCCCGCTCTCCCTGACCCAAAGCCCGTCCCAAGGCCCCCGCTCTCTCCGATCCAAAGCCCGTCCCAAAACCCCCGCTCTCCCCGACCCAAAGCCCGTCCCAAAACCCCCGCTCTCCCTGACTCAAAGCCCCCGCTCTCCCCGACTCAAAGCCCGTCCCAAAGCCCCCGCTCTCCCTGACCCAAAGCCCGTCCCAAAACCCCCGCTCTCCCTGACTCAAAGCCCCCGCTCTCCCCGACTCAAAGCCCGTCCCAAAGCCCCCGCTCTCCCCGATCCAAAGCCCGTCCCAAAGCCGCCGCTCTCCCCGATCCAAAGCCCCTGCTCTCCCCGATCCAAAGCCCCCGCTCTCCCTGACCCAAAGCCCGTCCCAAGGCCCCCGCTCTCTCCGATCCAAAGCCCGTCCCAAAACCCCCGCTCTCCCCGACCCAAAGCCCGTCCCAAAACCCCCGCTCTCCCTGACTTAAAGCCCCCGCTCTCCCCGATCCAAAGCCCCTGCTCTCCCCGATCCAAAGCCCCCGCTCTCCCTGACCCAAAGCCCGTCCCAAGGCCCCCGCTCTCTCCGATCCAAAGCCCGTCCCAAAGCCCCCGCTCTCCCCGATCCAAAGCCCGTCCCAAAGCCGCCGCTCTCCCCGATCCAAAGCCCGTCCCAAAGCCGCCGCTCTCCCCGATCCAAAGCCCCTGCTCTCCCCGATCCAAAGCCCCTGCTCTCCCTGACCCAAAGCCCGTCCCAAGGCCCCCGCTCTCTCCGATCCAAAGCCCGTCCCAAAACCCCCGCTCTCCCCGACCCAAAGCCCGTCCCAAAACCCCCGCTCTCCCTGACTTAAAGCCCCCGCTCTTCCTGTTGTACATTATCCTAGAGTTTCTCCAGTTTGTTCTGTTGAGTATTAGATTGTCAATAAAGTGTTCATTAAAAATGAAAGGGCATATGCAAATGTAGTTTCTTTTTCACTTTCTTTTTATTTTGGGTTGAAATACAGTATAATATGGATATTTCTTTATGAGATTAAAGATTACTGATGTGTGTCTGGTTGGTGCTTGTTTGGTTTGTATTTTATTTTGGATTGATGACGTTCAGACACCCTGATCAGCTCTTGTTTATATTAGTGTTATACGAAGCATTTCACTGCTGGTTGACAGAATGACACGCTTCACTTACTGTGTATTTCTCTCTCACACACACACCCGCAGGAGAGAGACGCCAGCACATGTGTGTGAATGTGTCTGATATCAGTCTGATCTCTTCTGATTCATGACTGAACTGAAGTCTCATTTCGGATCTCTCATTGTTTGGCTCACTTAAATCTGTTGTCACTACAGAATAAGTGTTTGAATTGTGTCAAAGCTCCTGGACCCAGAAAAAATTATGTTTTCCATACATTTTAGGTCGATTTGTAAGTATGTTAATGCAGCTGAACATTTAGTCTGTACAGCATAATTGATGGAAAAAGTCAAGCCACCTTTGTTTATATAGTGCTTTTTACAATACAGATGGTATCAAAGCAGCTTTACAGTGATTACGAAAATAATACACAAAGTTTGTTTCTAGAGGAAAACTGTGTCATCGTCCACCTTCAGGGTTGCCAACTTGTGAGTTTAGCTTGAAGTGAGATTTGTTTCGGGGGGGTCGTCACAATGTCTTGTAGGCCAAATGTATAGTTTGTCCAATTTTAATTTGGCATATAACAGTTTTACTGATTTAAACCAAATTTGTTTTGGGAGTAAAGCTCATATATTATTGTTCTTTCCCATTTGATTTAGTAAAACTATGTTGAAACATCTGTCCCTCTAGGGGGGTTCGGGGGTTCGGCTCCCCCGCAAGAAAATGTATGTACATTTTGAGGTTAAATGCATCAATCTGGTGCACATTGAGGGCTCAAAATTAAGAGCTTTAACCGACTTTAACCCATGAACTGTGACATTGAACAAAGGAAAAGCCTCGACTTGTACCTGGACATTAAAGAGGGATCAAACATCTTTTTAGTTATGATATAATCCTCTGTTTTAGGATGCCAAACGATTATTATAATAATGTAATAATAATTTATATAATTATTCCTATTACGAAAAATCCATATACGCCTAGCCAATAAATGTACTGTGTAAATGAAAATGAATATTTCAAAAGTGTATTTTACTTACACTATTGTATAAATTACAATAGTTTTGTCCTAATTTCTTCACTTGCAAGAAATAAAAACTTGAGCTTTTATTTTGCAGAAAACAGATGACCGGTTTCGGTGTTGGGAAAAGGGAGAAGAAAGCGTTCGGCAAAAGGCGGATTTGAACTCGGGTCGAACGCGTCAAAAGCTGCTTTTATGCACCTCACGGCCTCGCCTTACGCCTCTGTAGATATTCAGAGAAGGGTATATTTTTGCTAAAGACAGGCACGTGGTGCAAATGTACGCTCTCAACTCACGTTCAAAGTCATAGGCAGCGCAGCGTCTCTGTGCGTCGCAAAAGCCCGTGTTGACAGTTTGTTTAATATAAAGATACAGTATGACCAGATACAGTATTTTGCTCGTGCCCTGTGGGTGTTGTAGGCGACTGTATCACGTGCTGTTTGAACTGACGCGCTACTGCGATCTGTCGCATTTAACAGCGCCGAAACGTTCCATATCAAGAGTAAACTTCTCTGTCTGTCGGTGTCCGTGTCATCCTTTTCCGCGATTTTTCCCTGCGTGATAAAATGCAGTGGTCCAATCAGTAGTTAAGAGCCTGAACTTGCTTATATAATACAAAAAATACAGCACAGAAGAATGTCGAATTTAGCGTGAGATTTCTTTGTTGAGCGTGAGACCGTGAGATTGAGGCTGAATGCGTGATGCGTGAGAGTTGGTCAACCCTGCACCTTAAAGGGTTAGTTCACCCAAAAATGAAACTACACATACTACACGTTAAAGCAAACGATACATAACTGTTGTTAAAGGAAAAATAAAGAAAGTAATAAAATGGCTGGATGTGTATTCTTCAAACATGTCAGTAATAACATAATAATGTTTGCACAAATCGACAAACAAATCAAAACATCAGGCACATCCACATTATACTCTATAGAACTGCAAAACCAGTGTAATAGTTGTATTACAGAATCTGAGAAATAAAAATAAAATACATCTTTCCAAAAGCACAATCCACATATACATTATAGACCCAAATTACATGAATTCAATCACGTTATACCGGTTAAATTGAAGAACTGAACATACCTGGAAACACATGGGACAATTTGATCAGTAAATTCTCTGTTGCGCCAACCTCTCTCCACCTTGAAGAACACTGTGCACAAACGACTCCACATTGTACTTAATATTTCATGAACAGAATTAACACTTTTAGACATACCAATATTTAAGTGGAAGAGAGAGAAGAGAACATGTGCGTCTTGCCTCACCAGCGTCCATGCGCGCAACACTGATAAGCGTCCCACTTAACAAAACACCTTAATTGATAGTTCCTAACATCAATGACTAACTCGAACAAGTATTTAATACAAAATGAATTAAAAAATCTCTTAACTTCATGGAAGAATTGTTTTGGGAAGTTCATCATATAAAAATAAAATTAATATTTCTCTTCTCAACTTGCTACATTCGCTCCATATATCGGGACACTGTCGGCTTCAGTTCTCTCTGATGGAAAAGAGCGAAGGGCCGTCGTCCATCTTTATGGGTTGGAACAACATGAGGGTGAGTAAAAACTGACATTTTTGGTATGGTATAAAAAATATAAAAGCTTATTTCGCAAAAGTATTCAAAGCTTCTAATGCGATACTAACACTCATGCCAGTTCTTCTTGTGACTCTCACACAAAGATTTCAGCTGTTTTTCTGTCAGAAAGCGATTAGATCTGAATATGTGGGCTTGAACCTGCAGTATTGCGGTGTGAACGGCGTTCCAGTCACACTGTAAACCTGCTTTATCTGCGATGCTGGAATATAAAGAGATGTTGAGGGAAGATGGAGAGATACTGCACGTCAGACGCTCCTCTGCCAACAGATGAAGATACGGCACCAGTCTAACGCCAGATGATGATGTTTAAATACGGTATTAACAGGAGGAAATCTACGTTTGAAAGAGAGGGAAACTCATGTACAAATATATTCTGTGATCAAACAACTGATATGAAACAGGGTGTACAGCATTAGGACACTATATGTCATTTAACATTTCAAATTGTGCAAACATCCTCCATACCCAAACGAACAGAAAGTCTGCAAATAAAAAGTAACCTTGAACAAATTTAACTCAACATTGAACAAACAGATCACATTCACAAACTGGGTTTTGTTTCCAGTCACCGGACTGATAAAGATATTATTCCCAGTTTCCCACATTCCCAAAGTCCTCTCAAATAAAGACAAACATCTACTTGAGTTCAGGAAACCTGTGATCCGGCTTGAGTTTATAGTCTAATGCAGTTATTGATTGTGGAGATCTGATCTCATGTAAGGAACAGAGTCTGACTCTGATGAAGGAGAAAGACCTGCGCAGGATTACAGAGGGTTAGATGCGGAGATGAACCTCTTACTCGTCTAAAGCACCTTCAGAAAGTACTCGGTAAATCTCAGTAAATCCACACTTGCACATTTAGATGAGCCTGTATTGGGTTACTGTTTTCCTGCGGTCAGACTAACTCAAAGCGCACAGAACTGAACTGAGATCAGAGTAAAGACTTCAGTTGCTGTGTTTCTTGGATCTTTGACTCTTTGGACATTTAAAAACATGCCTTGATGTCTTTGTGCTCCGTTTAGTGATTTGCACGATAGAGAGCAGGTTGTGATTCGAATCAGAGCAAAATAGGGGCCTTTTTATTAGCAATATTAAACAAACTGAAAGATGCGTAACACACACACACACACACACACATGTAGTCAGAGTCCGAGGGCAAAGATAACGCCGGTCTCAGAGATCCGAGATCAGTGTTAAAGCTCCTCGTGTGTTTTAATGATTACTTCACGTTACAGGGATCTGACGAATTAAAAGCAGCTGTGGGGAAAGCAGAAGCTGAGATCTGGAGAAGTCACGTTTGCCTCTTATGGTGATGGACTGAATGTCCAATCCACTCTGCCTCAATCATAATCACACACGGCTCGTCCAATGGTCTGGTTCCTCACACGGGCTTGTCTACATTCTGTCACTGATGGAGTTTTGGGAGGCTTGCTTAGTTGAGGACATTTCATTTAATGATCAACAATATTGATCTTCTGCATTGACACCATTATCTGAGAACTGAGCTGACCTGGACGATGACATCAAGTCACATTTATTTATATAGCGCTTTTCACAATACAGATTGTATCAAAGCAGCTTCACGGTGATAACATCACTGTTTTCTGGAGATGGAGATGTGTTGGAGATGGAGATGAGATGTGATGGAGATGAGATGTGATGGAGATGGAGATGAGATGTGTTGGAGATGGAGATGTGTTGGAGATGGAGATGGAGATGTGTTGGAGATGGAGATGTGTTGGAGATGGAGATGTGTTGGAGATGGAGATGGAGATGTGTTGGAGATGAGATGGAGATGTGTTGGAGATGGAGATGTGTTGGAGATGGAGATGTGTTGGAGATGGAGATGGAGATGTGTTGGAGATGAGATGGAGATGTGTTGGAGATGGAGATGGAGATGGAGATGTGTTGGAGATGGAGATGTGTTGGAGATGGAGATGGAGATGTGTTGGAGATGGAGATGAGATGTGTTGGAGATGGAGATGTGTTGGAGATGGAGATGGAGATGTGTTGGAGATGGAGATGAGATGTGTTGGAGATGGAGATGTGTTGGAGATGGAGATGAGATGTGATGGAGATGGAGATGTGTTGGAGATGGAGATGAGATGTGATGGAGATGGAGATGGAGATGTGTTGGAGATGGAGATGAGATGTGATGGAGATGAGATGTGATGGAGATGGAGATGGAGATGTGTTGGAGATGGAGATGTGTTGGAGATGGAGATGGAGATGTGTTGGAGATGGAGATGAGATGTGTTGGAGATGGAGATGTGTTGGAGATGGAGATGGAGATGTGTTGGAGATGGAGATGAGATGTGTTGGAGATGGAGATGTGTTGGAGATGGAGATGAGATGTGATGGAGATGGAGATGGAGATGTGTTGGAGATGGAGATGGAGATGTGTTGGAGATGGAGATGAGATGTGATGGAGATGAGATGTGATGGAGATGGAGATGGAGATGTGTTGGAGATGGAGATGGAGATGTGTTGGAGATGGAGATGAGATGTGATGGAGATGGAGATGGAGATGTGTTGGAGATGGAGATGGAGATGTGTTGGAGATGGAGATGAGATGTGATGGAGATGGAGATGTGTTGGAGATGGAGATGAGATGTGTTGGAGATGGAGATGTGTTGGAGATGGAGATGAGATGTGTTGGAGATGGAGATGGAGATGTGTTGGAGATGGAGATGGAGATGTGTTGGAGATGGAGATAAGATGTGATGGAGATGAGATGTGATGGAGATGGAGATGGAGATGTGTTGGAGATGGAGATGTGTTGGAGATGGAGATGGAGATGTGTTGGAGATGGAGATGAGATGTGTTGGAGATGGAGATGTGTTGGAGATGGAGATGGAGATGTGTTGGAGATGGAGATGAGATGTGTTGGAGATGGAGATGTGTTGGAGATGGAGATGAGATGTGATGGAGATGGAGATGTGTTGGAGATGGAGATGAGATGTGATGGAGATGAGATGTGATGGAGATGTGTTGGAGATGGAGATGTGTTGGAGATGGAGATGAGATGTGATGGAGATGAGATGTGATGGAGATGGAGATGGAGATGTGTTGGAGATGGAGATGTGTTGGAGATGGAGATGGAGATGTGTTGGAGATGGAGATGTGTTGGAGATGGAGATGTGTTGGAGATGGAGATGGAGATGTGTTGGAGATGGAGATGTGTTGGAGATGGAGATGAGATGTGATGGAGATGAGATGTGATGGAGATGGAGATGTGTTGGAGATGGAGATGTGTTGGAGATGGAGATGGAGATGTGTTGGAGATGGAGATGTGTTGGAGATGGAGATGGAGATGTGTTGGAGATGGAGATGAGATGTGTTGGAGATGGAGATGTGTTGGAGATGGAGATGAGATGTGTTGGAGATGGAGATGGAGATGTGTTGGAGATGGAGATGGAGATGTGTTGGAGATGGAGATGGAGATGTGTTGGAGATGGAGATGTGTTGGAGATGGAGATGGAGATGTGTTGGAGATGGAGATGGAGATGTGTTGGAGATGGAGATGTGTTGGAGATGGAGATGGAGATGTGTTGGAGATGGAGATGGAGATGTGTTGGAGATGGAGATGTGTTGGAGATGGAGATGGAGATGTGTTGGAGATGGAGATGAGATGTGTTGGAGATGGAGATGTGTTGGAGATGGAGATGGAGATGTGTTGGAGATGGAGATGGAGATGTGTTGGAGATGGAGATGGAGATGTGTTGGAGATGGAGATGTGTTGGAGATGGAGATGGAGATGTGTTGGAGATGGAGATGTGTTGGAGATGGAGATGTGTTGGAGATGGAGATGTGTTGGAGATGGAGATGGAGATGTGTTGGAGATGGAGATGAGATGTGTTGGAGATGGAGATGTGTTGGAGATGGAGATGGAGATGTGTTGGAGATGGAGATGGAGATGTGTTGGAGATGGAGATGGAGATGTGTTGGAGATGGAGATGTGTTGGAGATGGAGATGGAGATGTGTTGGAGATGGAGATGAGATGTGTTGGAGATGGAGATGTGTTGGAGATGGAGATGGAGATGTGTTGGAGATGGAGATGAGATGTGTTGGAGATGGAGATGTGTTGGAGATGGAGATGAGATGTGATGGAGATGGAGATGTGTTGGAGATGTGTTGGAGATGGAGATGTGTTGGAGATGGAGATGAGATGTGATGGAGATGAGATGTGATGGAGATGGAGATGGAGATGTGTTGGAGATGGAGATGTGTTGGAGATGGAGATGTGTTGGAGATGGAGATGTGTTGGAGATGGAGATGTGTTGGAGATGGAGATGGAGATGTGTTGGAGATGGAGATGTGTTGGAGATGGAGATGGAGATGTGTTGGAGATGGAGATGAGATGTGATGGAGATGAGATGTGATGGAGATGTGTTGGAGATGGAGATGTGTTGGAGATGGAGATGAGATGTGATGGAGATGAGATGTGATGGAGATGGAGATGGAGATGTGTTGGAGATGGAGATGTGTTGGAGATGGAGATGTGTTGGAGATGGAGATGTGTTGGAGATGGAGATGTGTTGGAGATGGAGATGGAGATGTGTTGGAGATGGAGATGTGTTGGAGATGGAGATGAGATGTGATGGAGATGAGATGTGATGGAGATGGAGATGTGTTGGAGATGGAGATGTGTTGGAGATGGAGATGTGTTGGAGATGAGATGGAGATGTGTTGGAGATGGAGATGGAGATGGAGATGTGTTGGAGATGGAGATGTGTTGGAGATGGAGATGGAGATGTGTTGGAGATGGAGATGAGATGTGTTGGAGATGGAGATGTGTTGGAGATGGAGATGGAGATGTGTTGGAGATGAGATGGAGATGTGTTGGAGATGGAGATGGAGATGGAGATGTGTTGGAGATGGAGATGGAGATGTGTTGGAGATGGAGATGAGATGTGTTGGAGATGGAGATGTGTTGGAGATGGAGATGGAGATGTGTTGGAGATGGAGATGAGATGTGTTGGAGATGGAGATGTGTTGGAGATGGAGATGAGATGTGATGGAGATGGAGATGTGTTGGAGATGGAGATGAGATGTGATGGAGATGGAGATGGAGATGTGTTGGAGATGGAGATGAGATGTGATGGAGATGAGATGTGATGGAGATGGAGATGGAGATGTGTTGGAGATGGAGATGTGTTGGAGATGGAGATGGAGATGTGTTGGAGATGGAGATGAGATGTGTTGGAGATGGAGATGTGTTGGAGATGGAGATGGAGATGTGTTGGAGATGGAGATGAGATGTGTTGGAG